CAGTATCAATATGGCGACAGAGGAAATCGATGGTTTCTAATAGTGGTACGTTTGTAAACAAAGACGTTACATCCATAGAAAACATTTGATCATTCTTTACGTTCCGCCGACTGATAACATTCACAAACTCAAATGTGTCGTGCAAGCTGTATTTTGCGAGCTTGGGCGCACTGGTTCGAGAATTCCTACGAGCCACTTGGCAGTCTGGTGGTACGGTGAGTTGACCATCGATAGAATCGGTCATAATGGTAAGCCAGTCTTGTGAACCTTGGGTAACCCGTAAAGGCACAGAATGTTTGACCCGGACGGCTTTATTGAGTTGAACGCTGATTGATCTATATACCCTTGGTCATTATAATAAGCAGACCAGATAAAGGATTAGGAGTTGTTCTGATGAAAAGATGTGATTACATCAATAAGATGTCCAAACTATTGTCTGATAAAAAGAAGTTTGACAGCGGGCCTCAAGAAAAAGATAAAACGACACGGACAGAGAAACAAATCGTGAATAGCCTTAAATCCTTAAAGGACTTTTTTCAAATGATTATGATTAGTAAAGAAATATGTTGCGTAACATCGCTTACTTCCTTGTTACTTATTTCTTACACAATGTTTGTGTGATGAGGAGCAAACGTTGTGGACCTGATAGTCGCGATCAGCTACTGCTCAGTGACGGAAACTGGATACCTTAGCCCCCGGGCATGGAGTGGCGAACCACACACGATCCCTATAAGTTAGGTGTGGTGTTGAACCGGACTACAGCAAAACGGTCTATCGAACTTGTACCGAAAATGTGAACTAGCAAGATGAGATAAAAAAGAACTAAAATAGGTGATGTGCAGTTTACAAAATCGAACGGTTTTGAGCTTTATCTTATATGATTTAGGCTTTTGGGGGGTGTCCTCCCAAAACCATTGGATACAAGGAATTCGCCGCTGCGCCATGTCTTGCAAGATTTTCAATCGGAGGGACTTCGGCCTCCGAGCTGCAAGTCTACTTTACATTTTACCTTTGATGACGTTTTCATATTTGAGGATAAGTTGTCTTCGTGACGAAACTTGGAAGTATAGTACAAAGTTGGATTTTGAGCTCCACTCGGCATTTCCCCTCGAGGATGCACCTCTAACCCTTGTACAATATGTAGGGCCATAGAGTGATGGCGATGGCCTTATTTAACAGTGGGTCATGTTCGTGTACTTTACCTTTGAACGAATGTATGGTTTCTTATTACCGAACCATCGCTTGTCAGTTGAAGGACTACGTCCTCGAGCATCATAAATAATGGTTCGAGAGTACATATTTCATGACGTAACCCCGTACTCTTCACAGCTAATCACTTAGGCAGTCCTGCCAGAGACGCTCACGGTGTCCTACAGCTCATCTGCCTTGTACGGTAATTGTTCGGGTTAGAGAGTTCATGTGTTTGAGAATACGGAAAATCACGGTGTGTTTTCGAGGGGTTAAAGATGTAGAAAGTCTGAGAGGAACAATGACAAGATGATGTACAGCAAGAGTTAACGCACGGATACACATATTACAGACGATCAATGGTTAACTTATGTTCAGAAAGCGCAGCGCGGGGCGGATATTCCTAGTGCTGAGGTTTACCAATGGGAAACGAATTTAGTGGAAAGGTTTAATTGGGTGAGTGGGTGGGGTAGAGGCAAATCGTTAATCTAGAACTGCAGCTTTCTTGAATTATTCTCTTTGAAGATCATCAGACGAGTTCCAAGTAAGTGGGAAAGTTGAACGGGAGGGGTTTCGTTAAACTGCCTCTGCAAAGAATAGGTGGTGGACAAAAACGAGAACTCGGTTTATAGCGAACAAAGCGGTTTTTTGTCTTTGTATGATTAATGGGAATCTGTTCCTAGCTTGCACGAATCACGATCGGGCAAGCGGCTGAAGGCTGAACATTTTAGGCATATAGCAGGAACAAATGTGCGGTTAAACCACTCGGAAGGACTTGAGTTTCGAAAAGTGTGCAGGAGAAATGTGCATACCTTGAGGAACAACATCGGTGAATTTGGAAACTTCCAAAGTGAAACAGCCATTGTTCCAACGATAGGAAGCTAAGACTTCGCGAAAACCGTCTTAGTTTGCTGAAATGTTGAATAGAGAATCAGAACGACTAAATGTGATAGAGTAAGAAAAATACAGAAGTCCAATGAACTTAGCGGAGGCTGATTGGGGGCTTCTGAAAAAAAGAGATGGAAATGAGTTTATGGTCGCCAGTTTGATCGAGGATAATTGAGGTGGGAGTGGGGGACAAAAGGCTCACTCAGATTTTTGACCAAGCTGGAACTTCGGCTTTGTGCCTCAAAAGCGAGAACCATTTTTGGGTATGGACGTTGAAAATGACAGTATGGCGGTGGAGATCGGTATCAAACGAGTCCTAAATATTGGAAGATACGAAATCGAAGATAAAGCAGTCGTCAGTGTTGAGTGAACTAGCGAGGTAAGTTAGAATTCAGCTATATCACTTGAAATTT